GTTATATATTCACACAAGTAACGCACGCAGACTAAAATTTGCATACAAAGAAGACTTATTTTGGCATTCGCATGGCCAGAATCCGTCGGTATTCTCTATTTTTAAAGAAACATACTCTATAACATAAGCCTTACCTCCCAATATAACAATGCTCGGCTTTCCAGACATGTCGAAGTTGATATTTCGAAGGAATGTTAATTGCTAACAAAAACCGTCTCGAACAAGCGTGTGTCAATTCACGACTTCAAACACACAAGTGTCACTGTGAACAACTTGGAACTTTGTCAGGTAGGGCGAACTTCGACCACGCTTTCCCCAAAATTCGCTTCAACGTCCCTCGAACGCTCGTATGTTGATAAACCAGCTGTATTTATGCTTTAATATGTTGTAATAGCCGGTTGTGTGTTAGTATTTTTTAGAGATAGTGTTGTTTGAAAGTTGAGCACCGGTAGTTTGCTTGGCAAGGCAGACAGGAAGTGTGCATATATAAATATTTGGAATTCGAGTGCTAATGAGGAGGCGGAGGGGAAAAGTGTTTAATTCATCCATAGGGGGGTACACTATGCTTGGCACACAGTCAATAGAATAAGAATTGGTTAGACATAATAAACCTCATGTTTTCGCTCGCTACTTTGGTTTATATAAATGAATACAAAGTCAACGCCCAGTCAAGACCAGTCAAATTGTATCACACTTGTCACTGGGAACCCCCCACCCCACCCCACCCCACCCCACCCCGGATAATGTACAGAGGGACTTGATGGGGATTAGACGGGGACTTGATCCTTTTTCTTGCCCCAGGGGGTGGGAGATTTTTACATTTTAGCAAATCTTCTCAAGCAGGAGGCTGATACCGAATTCGCGACCGCATTGCAAAATGGCGACTTTTGAAGGTCAACTTGAAGGCTTTTCTTTTTATGTAAATGCATTTATATTTGTTCTGGTATTTATATCTCAAACTATCATTTGCATGTGTAAAAGTTTGGTCGTGCTACTGAATATTACGCTATTGTAAAGTGCTCAGTAGGGGTTTATGGACGGGGTTAGACTTTATGCTGGTCCCCATGTTATGGGGCATTTTTGCAGATTTTTTTCGCTTAGAGTCTAATGCCCCATGTATGCCCGGGTGGGGGGCTTCCCAGTGACAAGTGCATAATCAAGACCCAACGTTTCGAGTCCGACACTCCAGTTTAGCACTTGAGTGTCTAATTCGTCAGGGGCTTCAGGGGTCAATCTAAAGTTGCAATATGGCTTCTTAAATTCCCAAGGGATGACGTCATCTGCCAATAAAATGCATGTATACATCTGGCAAATAGGCACCGTCATCCCTATTCAAAGCATGATTACTCATATTTATAGGCCACGCTTCTAGGCATCATCTTTGACCATAGCGATTGTTTGTGGTAATTACTTTTGAGTTTTCCCACGCAATCTTGTGTTTGGTATCACACACATGTTCTGCTAAAGCTGATTTCCCCTTGTTTAAGGTTGAAACAGCCTTTTGATATGTTCTTTTAGCCGTGTACCAAACTGGCGTTTTATAGACTGATCCAAATACTCTTTCTCGCAGTCATCGCATGGTATAGAAATGTTAAACAGAAACCATGTTTTGTGAAAAAAGGGGAATTTTTAGCAATGTTTAAACCAGTCAGAGACATTTAAAAAAAACAGGTTGGTATGCAGAAGCCTGAAAGAAACAGTTTTTGTTTGGGCTTTATTTACCGACAAGGAAAACTACATATAAATTGTCTGCTACACATTACACATTTTAACATAATATCCTCCCTTTGGCTTTACTTTCTATTGCTGTAAAACTGTGACCATTGACCGTGTGCACTACCAAAAACATGACATATATGACTGCGTTTTCCTCTCAATTTTCTTCAAAACCCATGTTCGCTGATCCGTCCGTCTTTTCGTTCTTCGTTTTTGCAGTTTTATTATTCTCTTTGACTGTGTAAGCAGGATAATCTGGCATTTTATAAGCCATCTAGGAAAAAGCAAACTTAGAATATTATAAATATTACGATAAGGGTCATAACTGGGGAGTCTATTTTCTCTAAAATATAAGCAAAACATAAAAACATTGGAAGAAAATGAAATTTAGAACGGATGTTTGATATTCTAGTAATTGATCCTTGAATATAAGATTTACAGAGTTGAAAGGATGGGTATGTCACGTCATTAATCTTCAAATGATTGTGATTGTGTTGTAAATATCTTATATTTTAAACAACCATCTGTATCTCTCCACATTCAGCATTAAGTATGTTCCCTATCTGTGGATGCCCCCCTCTCGATCCCCAAAACGCCCTGAGTATCATTTATTTGTTTTATGGTGTTAGTGCTGAGTAGAGTGTTCCACACTGACCTCACATAACTCTGGGTCATGGATGCAAGGATTTAATTAATATTATTGCTGTATTTACAATTCGGAATAAGTTTATGTCATTATGGTTTTACCTGATCTTTTATAGCCAACCATACATGCAGTAAGATTGAACAAACGCTGTAATTAATGAGCAACACAGCAGAAACCGTGATGAAACCAACAGACCATGCATAGGATGTTCGCCGTTTGCAACTGTACTCTGAATACTGCATTTCTATGAAAATATATTGAGAGAAAAAATGTGTTAATGAATTATGACATTGTTGAGACTGAAAATGAGTTAATCATTTCACTGTTGCACGGTACTGTATAAAGCATTGTAAATTACATCTATCGGAGAAAGCTGAAATATTAGCAGAATGTGAAGAACTTAAATTTCTTGAAACAGACTCTGAAATGTTCCATCATGAAACTCAAGATTTAAGAAAAGCAAGAGAAGACGGTCAAATTAAGGCTAAGCTGAATGCTATATTGTCCAATTTATTATGTCCAAAAAATGTCACTTTGGTGTCAGCGTTTTATCTACACCCAATTGCCATTTTCCCTTTTAATTTGTCCTTCTTGTTTCCCTTAAATGTACGCACGTAAAAATCTCACAATTTGTCAACAAGATGTGTTCGCAACATGAGGCTTGTAGCAAGCTTGTCAACAAGTTGTAACAATGTTGCTCCAAGGTTGTCACTCACAACTTGTTCAATTATGCAGGACGATAACAAGTTGTTGCATGGAACAATTTGTAACAAGTCTTTTGAGCTCAACAACCTTGTAGCAAGTTGTCAAAAAGTCGTTGACAACTTGTCAACAAGTTGTCAATCTTGTTGGAACAGCATTGCTCAGTGCACGAGTTTGCTGCAGATTTGTTACAACTTGTGCGTTTTTATCATAGATATGTGTGTAAAATTTATTTGGTCTTTTACTCCGCGAATATGCTGTATGTATGCGCTTATATGGTAGTTGCTTACAACTGGATTTAAATAGAGGACAAAATGTTCAACCATGCAATGCATGATTGTAAAAACGTCTTTTACCTCTTTGTAATCCAGGAACAGCAATCATTGCCAGTTTGCAAATTTGATCAGGTGATCGGTTATCTGAAAGATATCTCATCCAATCCGGAGCCTCGAGAACAATACTCACAATGGAAGTTATAAAACAATATATACTCAGACATACTCGGATAATTTTCTGAAAAGGAAAAATGAATAGTGCAATGCGGAAAAAATGTTAGTTCAAAATTTCCTCCTTCCGAAATCAAATGTTATACTTCCTATCTACTTTTGTATCTTGTGCTGTGCACGATATGTTTATTTGTACATAATGTACAACGTTCTTAAGTTGTCTTACCGATTTGTTTGATATTTGCCCTCCTCCAAAAAGTACAATTATGCCAAGAATTATTGCCTGTAAAGCAAAATATATCGAATGAATAAAAATAGATTCAATTCTAGTTTAGTGAGTTCATATAGTTTACTTTACGAGTCTTACGTTTTTGCTGGAACTAAGTCACTCGAGCTCTATATATTATATTCATACAGAACATTAGTTCATATATTCACAGAAATCTAAAACAATTTACTATACTCTTTCAAGGTCCTAAAATTTGGAATGCTCTACCACCACATATAAAAGATCTGTCTAGTCTAATTTCCACTTTTAAAAAATATTTGATAGAATTTTTGCTAAAAATAATATCTATACGTCACGCACATAATACGCTCTTTGAGTAAAATATTGTATTTATTCCACTGTACTATTTGTTATTTGAGGTCACCTCACTAGATAAGCCCAGTGGTTTAATGAGGTCTCCTCGCTATCTGCTATTTACGTTTGTTCTTTCTTTGTGATTGTATTGTATATTGTATGGCGAATCAATTAAAGTTTCAAGTTTCATATAGCGTTATCGGTTCAGAAACAACTGATAGAATTTCGATTAGTATGCTTATCCAGCACGACCTTTACTGTAGGCCTTCATGCATAGAGTTGATATAATCTTCAATGGTTTCTGCAGAGTAATAATAAAGCTTCGGTGTGATTAGGATGCAACTACCTGAAAAGTACAAGGATAACTTCGACCGGTTTCAAGCGAAGGCCCTTCATCGTTCTAACTTCCTGAAGCTGAACATCATCACGTCGTGAAGAAAGCATCTCCAATTTATACATCCTCGAGTTGCGTTGCCACATCACAATGGATGTGTGGATGGGATTATTGAAATGTTTTGTTATATGGACATTGTTATACGGTTGTATAAAGGGTTGAAATGGAATGTGAAGAAAAACATATGAGGAGGACTTAAAGCAGTTGAGATGTAGTTTGTGTGACAAAACAATGACGAGCGTGGCTGACAAGATTGACAAATGAAGAGGTATTAAGAAGAGCAGGAAGAATGAGTCTGGTGACAAAGAACATCAAACCAGTGCGAAGCTGCATGTACTGTATGCCGAGAAAACCACTTCCAATAGACGGAAGCTTTCTAAAGAAGAATAAATTTTATTGCTCTGAACAGTGAACACAACAAATTATTTGAATGGAACCAAAAACAAATCACTTTTCCGAAAAGCTGCCTGTTATCTGGGAACATATTCTTCAATATGGGCAGTTGGGTTTCCTGGGCAAATTTTAAGACAAGGTGTGCTAGAGACAGCCTACTGACATAAATTGAAGGGAAAGATGCAAAGGAAGACAGAGGACTAAGTATCTGGATTTGCATTGTTGCAGAAAATTTGAAATGGAATGAAGGCAGCCAATTTAGTGGGACTGTAGTTCTCATATACATTTAAAAGTTGTTGCGTTTGAACTGAAAGACCTTATGTGTTATATTTTTGTGCATGTTTTGATGTTATCGACTCAGGTGAATATGATTGTTTTATGTTACTTTGAGTCCCATGCACGAATTGAAATTTATATCGATATATCGACGAAATTAATATCGACCAAGATACAATGTGGTCTTACTCTACTCATTTCAATTTATCCAATCAACACCATCCTAACTTCTTATCAATCATCATTTTTCATATATTTTCTAGCTGTTTCAACATAATTCTACTCCTATGGAATAACCTGCCATGTTATGATGGATGGGCCTAGCATGGGATATCAGTCCCGTTGTCAGTTCCTTCAATTATGCAGGTCTATATATATTTTTATCAATAATAATCTGATTGTTAAGCTAATATAGAAAACCTCCCATACGTACTGGGAATCCAAGCCAATATTGTGCATGGTCGTGACTGTAATCCACGTCCTTGTCCGCATCCATGAAGTCAAGAAAGAAAAACAACGCCGTTAACATGGAGCCAAATATAAGATAACCAAGTCCAATAGTTATTAATCCCCATGTACTTTGAACCGGTATCACGGTTGCCATTGTATATTCAAGTTTAAATTTGCAAAGTTTAGCTATATATGTATTTATAATATGAAGCAGCTATGTTATGCTATTCCAGTTTAAAGCTGATTTGGGAATTGTGATTTGTTTTTTTAAAAAACGGCAGGTGTTTTGATTACGTTATCTTTAAAAATGCATCATTTGCAGCGAGCAACATGTGGCAATACGCTTAATTCGGCATAGTTTCTCCTGGACGGCTTTTCCGGTCTTCACTATAGGCAAACGTTACTGTTACACGATGCGATTTGTCGGGCGATATCTGATATGCACTTTAACAGAACTTGAAAATTACGCGTGCAGACACAACACTAGCCTGTGTTCCAGTCCACTACACCGTAATTGTGTGTGGACTGGAACACTGGCTAACACCACGCATATAACGACATTAAAATCAAACGCAAAAGGCACAAGCTACAATCCAGGCCAAAACGTCGTGGATAACCCACAAACAATGGCGTTTTCCTAAATACCCCCCCCCCCAAAAAAAAAAATCAATATTGAATAGAGTTCATCAACAAATAAGTGTTGATAATGCGCACATGTGACATTGAAGAGGGGGAGTGGGGGGATATTTGGTACATTTTTCAAAATGATTAATGCTTTAATATATATGCAAACAAAGATGTACTACCAGCAAGAAATCTTGGCAATGAAAGGAAAACGAGAGCAACAAGTAGCAATCCAGACCTTCTCTTGTTCCGTAATGAAGAAATGCAAGACTGTAACCTACCAGACCTGCTTCATCAACAGAACAACAAGAATATGGAACATTCTTCCTAATGAACTTAAAGAACAGTCAGATATTACGCTACTGCTATCAATATAAATTATAAATTATGAATCTGAAATCCTCGCACTACTCCACCCTCTTCTTGTTCCTTATAGTTGTATTTGTTTTCGTAAATTGAGTTATATTAATGTGGGCCTACAGTAACTGATTTTTATACTGTTGTGGTGAACCTGCCACTCTTTTATGTGGTAAAATTAAAATATACGAGTGTTAAGTCAAGTTCTATTGCATGGTAAAAATAATATCATTACCATCAATACACCATTATCACAATCATAACCATCATCACGATCATCATTACCACTGATCATGCATTATCATCACCATCAATACACCATTATCACAATCATAACCATCATCATAACCATCATCACGATCATCATCACCACTGATCATGCATTATCATTACCATCAATACACCATTATCACAATCATAACCATCATCACGATCATCATCACCACTGATCATGCATTATCATTACCATCAATACACCATCATCACAACCATAACCATCATGATCATCATCACCACTGGTCATGCATTATCATTACCATCAATACACCATTATCACAATCATAACCATCATCACTATCATCATCACCACTGATCATGCATTATCATCACCATCAATACACCATCATCACAATCATAGCCATCATCGCGATCATCATCACCACTGATCATGCATTATCATTACCATCAATACACCATTATCACAATCATAACCATCATCGCGATCATCATCACCACTGATTATGCATTATCATTACCATCAATACACCATCATCACAACCATAACCATCATGATCATCATCACCACTGATCATGCATTATCATGCACCATCATGAGCGCTATCAAATAAAGCCATTAAGTTTTAATAAGAATAAAATAACTAAAATAGGATGCATGGAATACTGAAACCAGTGTTCCAAGTACTGTTCATGTGTGAAACATTTGATCAGTTTAGGAGAAAACATATTTAAACGTACTGTACAGTCTGTAATACTTAAACAGCTACATATCCTTAGTTATAACTCTGCGTTCAGAAGATCATGTTCTCATATGCACAAACATCTTTATGTACAAAATCTAATTGTATCCCTAGAGTGGTAAGGTATCCTCGTTGCTTTTTTCCTGAATCGCTTCTTTTTCAGGCGTTAATGGCTGTTGTTTCGTCTCTTTATCGTCGGTCCAGCAAGTGTGATAGCCTTGTGTTTTGAAAATATTCTCCGAGTCTTCTGTAACCTGAGTTGATGTCGTTTGTTGCTTTCGATTAAGTCTCTCGAAATCCATTTCAGGCGTTTCCACAGACATCTGAAAAGAACAATGCAAGCAGGTACTAAGTTATTTGTCTAATGGATTGAGAGAAATGCTTTATCTTCAAACAAGAGCGTAAAATTAAGCAGCAGGGTCTGTTCAACAGAAAATCGCCACATGGCTAATCGCTACAAGTCACTGCATATTGAGAAAAATAAAAAAAATATTACCCTGAACAGCAGCCAGTTGCATATGAGGATATTGCTGATACAGAGTAAAATAGCGATAATTGCTGCAACTGTGATGGATCCAAAAAGAGCTGAAAGTCCTGTAGTTTTATTACACGTACCTGGACAGAAAGAGAAATACTGTCAGTGAGTATCGCACAAATTTGTTACTAGTAAGTAATGCAAAAAATCTGTTCGTTTAGCTAGTTATTTTTATTTACCGAACAAAGTATTATTCACAAAGTAGTATAGAGCGTTTGCACTAATTCCCCAGGGACCAACTCAACGAAAGCCATGGCGGTCATGTTGGTGTTCCAGACAAAAGAGTCTAATTGAAATTCTTTTACAGTCAATTTCAGCTGACTTTTCATCGTAAGGTTCCGAACTTCGTTCCGAACTTCGCAAATTCGTTGCCAAGTTCAAAAGTTCATAGTGAAATTTACAAACAGGTTTGTAAAGAAAGCCTCTGATTGGCTATTAAATCAAACCAGCCAATCAAATGCCCAGTTTACAAACCTGTTTGTGAATTTCATTATGAACTTTTGAACTTGGCAACGGATTTGCGAAGTTCGGAACGAAGTTGGCGGTTGTGACGTCATGTACAAACCCTCTATATACTACACTGAAACTTTCGTGCAGTACAAAACTGTATACTTGGTGCGCAAATGTTTATACTAACTCGAACTGCCTTTTTCACAGACGTAGTTGCTATATGTGACGTAGTAATTCCAATCAGGACCTTCAAACACTACAGCCACCATCGATAATACAAAACAGAGTATGCTCACTATTCTGCATACTTTTACCTAAAACAATAGAGAAAATTTTCGTTCAATGTGGTGGAGGACATAAATCTGGCTCCTCTGCAGGCCCTCGTTGCGTCATAGTGGAGGGCTTGCGGAGGAGACAGGACATAAATGAAAGGAAAAGAGGGGAATGAGTACAAGGGGTCGTATATAAGGCACAAGAAATTTAAAGAAGTGTATCAAACAGAATGTTCAGAGATAGCAAAGCTATTGAAAAGCAAAGAAAAGTTTGAAATTAAACTGATCGAAGAAATATTCATTTGTGAAAGAAGTAACCTTGTCTTATCGACGGGAAATACAATATAGGGGTGATGTACAGTATATACAGCTCGACGCAAGTGATTTTGCACAGGTAGATACAACTTTATTTGATGAGGGTGACACATAACAGCTGAACACTGACAAACCTGTGGCCCAAAGAGTTCAGTGGCGGTGTTCCGTATTTTTACACAGATAATTATTAGTAGGCAATGAAAATTCAATCTACGAAATGAATTTTGACACATAATAAAATTGGTCTAACCCCTGCTTAAATAAGGGATGATCAAACCTAGCTGATGCATGATTTCAGTTGTCTATTGGTGAACCAGACTTTCTTTTAAACAACCAAAACATTGTTTCTACTAGACCAACTTTCTCTTAGCCTCATGTTATTATTAATAGACTTTTTAGATTATTAATGTAAGGCTTAACATCTTTTTTTATTAAAAACGACATTTTTATTAAAAAATGTTAATTAAGCCTAGTTCCTGGTCATTAATAAAACAAATAGTCCAATTTTAATAATCTTTTAGTGTCAAAATTTATATCGTAGAATTTTCGATGCTCACTAAGAATCTAGAACCCAGCTTTTGCTTTTTGGGGGGGGACATCCTGGAATTAAGGATAAAAAATAAAGTGACAATGTGATTCATACAATATATATCGACTTACATGCGTTTTCTTCTGATTCCTGCTAAGATATATCATGAAGAATCCTAGCACGAAGTACTAAAACAAAGTAAAAAAATACTAATCTTGAACCGTCTCTGCCAATGTAGGTAGCTATATAGTACCAATAATAACAAGCTTTCGTTGGTCCCTACCAAGGAGAATTTCGACAGAATTTTAAGGAGAATTTCGACGTTTCGAGCGAAGGCCCAACAAAAGCTTGTTAATAAAGATATATTACGAAGATTTATACTAAACATTGAAAATAATACTAACAAATCCTATAGTTATAGTAGTCAAATAATAACTTATTATTTAGCAATCTTATATTTGCACGGATGAAGATCCGGGATTTTGTACTGAAAGTTATCCAATACAATCATGCCATTTTCTTTCAAACAAGAAATGTGAGGAAAAGTGATCGTCTTGCGAACGTAGAAACAACTACACTTATTGTTCAATATTTATAAAAAATCAATCTCACATATATTTCTGCGTTCAACTTACAGGTAATCCGACCCAAAATGTGGTTCCACTCCGTCGCGGTTTCAAGCTATCTTCTGTTTCCGCATGAGTCATAGAATCGCAAATAATAACAACAAAACCGAGGGGGAGAAATCCAATACCAGAAATAAGAATATATTTCTTCAACGCCTTTGTGATGTCCATTATAACAGAGAGGAAGTATATGGATTTGGTTTGTTATTGCTATCTTGCGGTATGAAACAGCTCGGACTTTCCGACAATGTTTATGTTTTGGTTAAAACTTGCTTGTGGACAGCAGGTATTATAGACGATAAAAGCAACAAGCGGTAATAATCCATTAATTGGGCTGACTAAGCCGGCTAGATTATCAACAACGCCGGTCTGTTGACAGAACATATATATCGGTATGCGGAAATGCTCTTGTATTTCAGCCAGTCACCTAGGTGGCAGACATACACTTGGACGCCACTTTACAGTACCGGCACAGTGACTGCATTGTAAGAAGAGTGCTTCTAATTTGTCTTCACCAAATATGGTTCTTACTGGACCAAAAGGAAGAACAGTACATATAGTTACTACCTAAAATACCTATAATGACTAAAGTTATAGTTCAGTGAAGGTTTCCTGTAATAAAACTGGACAAATAGATTACGGTCTTAGTAGGCTGTGGGTAGAAATGTTAGATATTACAAAGCTATCCCTTAAGCCCGATTTCCACTAGGCGGAATTTTGCGCGCGGAGCGTAATTTTTCTTTGTCTTGTGATTTCTCAGGTGGAACTAATTGGAAAAGACAAAGAAAATTTCCGCTGCGCGCGCAAAATTCCGCCTTATTGGAAATCAGGCTTTAATGAAGCCAATTTATTGAGTTTCTCACTCACTGGTGAACGAATTTCCCAACAGGCAATGGACCATTTGCATTATAGACTAAATTTTGATCTAGACAAAAATTTCAGCACAGCTTGAAAGAGCATCACAAAATTAGTAATATTCCAAAGTTTCGTTGCGAAATGTTGTAAAATGCGGATAATATAGCCTTGCGAAGTTTGCCGTTTTTCAGTCATTTTGTATCACGCATGGGAAATTGACAGCCCAATCGGGTGTTGGGGCATCAATTTCCCGTTTGTAATACAAAATGACTGCAACGAAACTTTGGAATATTACTAATTTTGTGATGCTCTTTCAAGCTGTGATGAAATTTTTGTCTATACCAAAATTTAGTCTATAATGCAAATGGTCCATTGTCCACCTAAGTGATAGCGGATTCGAGGTACCTACGATTTTAACGTCCTTATCTGAGAAGACGCGAAAGTTTAATCATTTACCGATGCCAATGTAAAGGTACCACTTTCTCCTCAATTATTTTAAGTCCTCGAGTAGAGGTCCCATGCACCAAGGATTGAACCTGGTGACCACGACATCACAAGTGCTGGTTAGCCAGCTATTTTCATTTGAGATCTCTCTTCGTAGTGGATCGGTGATAAAATGATGGTGGAATTCGTTCAATACCGTTGCACCATGCTTGCAAGCTGTTCATTGCAATAGTTCCTTGGCTCAATCGCTGTGCTTGATCAAAGCTCTCTACTACAATGGATCAGTACGGCTGGAATTGGGAGCTACCATACGCTAAGCATGCAGGTCATTGAATTCGCTGTACTGCCTGGATATGGCCTAACTGCTGAGCTTGGTAAAAGCTTTCCATTGCCTTTTGTGTAGTGGACTAGTGTCGAAAGCAGTGGGAACTCTTTCGGCATCGAAGAAACTTTCTGCCTTGTTCAGACACGATGGCCTCTGGCGATCTTCCTTCTCTGACTGGGCGAGGGAGATCTTCCTAAACTTTCTCACCTCAGCAACTGACTGCTCCTGTCTGTGTCTTTTAAAAGACATGGTCACATCGTTGATGCACTAATCTACAAGTTTCATATCTCTATGTTCAATTCCTTTTGTGAATACAAAAGTATTAAGGCATGTTCTGTGTTTGTATATGTATTGCAAGCAAGTTTTTCCCTGGGTCTGAAAGATGGAGTGATTTTCCACATAAATATTTTAAAATTGCGCGACAGTTTTAGGCTTGGGTCCGGATTAAGTTTTGAATTAAGGTTAAGATTAAATAAAAATGTGAACATTAGGGTAGGATTACTATTGTGGATCCGAAAGTTGATATCGAAATTGGTGTGGTCCATAAATCCTTCATCATCTGTTCCGGAGATCCAAAATTTTTCTTGTAGCTTTAACAACCGTAAAGGTGATCGAGGTTTAAATGTCGAAAAATTCGGAAGAATACGGAATGTCACAAAATTGATTAGTGACACCTTAAAACGTGTCGTTAAATTAATTTAATTTTTACAGCACAATATTAAAAATAACTCGGACATGATAAAAATAGATTAGACTCAAATAATTTGTTCATTACTCCTAGATTTTGCACTAAAATTTAAACCTAGATAGATCGAATCATACAATCAAGTAACAAGGAACCAGCACTTTTCTGTCCTCACTAGCGAACTGGGCGTTGCTACAGTTAAATATTCACAAAGTAGTAAGTCCTCCATTGAAAATTTCCTTGAATTCTTACCGTCAGTTCTCGCTAACGCCTCGTCCATTGCTAATCGCGCAATGAAATCGCATCGCTGTTGATCTAACCATTTTCTCATTCTATTTTCACTAACTATTACGATATTCTCTCCGAGTTTAAATGGTCCCCATAGCAATGCCTGCAAGAAGCGGATCACCTGATTAGGGCCAGCCCATCCGTCACGAAGTCTTTCCGACGCTTTGCGAAGGTGTTCCGAAAGCGTTGAGTGGCTAGCTTTCGATGCGTATGTACCGTTGCCATTGTGGTCCTGGTGCAATAGGGCAGTGAAAATTTCGGAAACAGCTGTAAAATCATTTTTATGACCAACACTTAATTCCGTCGGCGAATCATCGATCTTACTGTACAAGGCACTAGCACGCCGTTCTATCGCGAGAGGCTGAGACTTTCCAAAGTTCCCGATCAACACTTGAAAATCACGATCATGTTTAATTAAAAACAAATTGTTCAAGTTCAGATCCCCATGGGTAAAACCAGAATCGTGCAAGTGTGTTATACCTTTGAGGCATTGTAGCATCAGCAAAGATACCGTTCTCTCGTGCGATAAAGGATCCTTAGAATGCACGTCCTTTGACTGCGCGACAAATTCCGCGCAGGTTTGCACAGGAACCTGGTCGCTAATTGAAATGGTTGTGTGAAGAGGCGATGTGTTGTCCTTCATGCCTACCACCGAAGGTTGTATTTCCCCACGAAAGTACGCGAGAACACGCGAAACATTTTCGTGGGATTCCAGACTCGTGCAAACGCTGTAGTCTTGATCGAACGGCGACTTTGTGTTCCCGTTTGTTGGAGTTTTACATTTGATCTAAAATATATAATGGCAAGTTTACTAAGCAGTAACGCCAGGCCGTAGCTAAACCGATAATTGGGGGGGGGGATTGCATATTCATATATTCGTGTTCTGCCCGACCGATTTCTTTTGAAAGCGATTGTTTTTACGGTGTGTGAACATGAATATATGAATATACACCCCCCCCTCCCAATTTTCACGTCTAGCTACGGCCCTGAGTAACCCACAGAGACAAAAATCTTACTAAAGTTGATTTAGTAAGACGCGAAGAGAAAGCAAAGAGAAACAAGAGCTGATGACGGTAAGTATTAGAATTTTAAATATCGGACGGAAAGATTTAAAAACAGCCCCTTGGTGTATGCTATAAATTGTTATAATGATAACTTTTAGCGTAAAAGTTAGTAAAACTATATATGAAAAAGGAGACCTTGATTACCATGCATTTACAAAGAGTTCAGAAATGAATTATTTATAACAATTTGGACGACATAGGAATTAATATAAGGATATTGGAGCATAGATATCTTTACATATACACTAGATAGTGCATCTAGTTATTCTACAATTAAAAAATTGAAGCCGTGATTGCAGGCTCAGGGTATTCCCATGAAATAATAAGATTCGTATGTTTTCTATTTCTTAAACAGGGAACTTAAACATTAAGTTAAACCTATTCCAAATACATTTTTAAACTATTCAAATGATGAAAGTTATTGTTGTTTTTAAGCGTTTATTAGCGAGTGGGAAACACCAACATGGCCGCCATCTATTCAAATGGGGGTAACCGCTGGAATATTCTTGGCTTCAATTTTACTAAAAGAGATGCGCTATCTAGTGTATAAAAGATATCTATGTATTGCAGTTGCAGAAAACTGTTATTAATTGGCCAAAGTTAGACCACTGACATTCTTCGGAAAGATTCATATCAAGACATTCGTCTCTTACTAGGTAATCTTGCAGTATGTGTCTCCCAGGCAAAAATACCCTGACATACTGTAAACAGGCACACACACTGTGCAGCTGCAGGGCGATTAGAACCCAAAACAGGGACAGCCGTGGATGGAGAAGATTTGAATCAGCAAAAAATATCACGTATATGTTACCTTGGCAGTATACTGTCCACAGCAATTATTGGAATCCAGATTCGTCGACTCCTTTCGTAACCGCACTGGCAGCGACACACTGCCTTCGGAAACCTTCGGCTGCGATTCGGACTCCACGATCTCAAAATCCTCCCAACATGCCCCGGCTAAACTGATGGTGGGCTTGCGAAGCATATTTCGCCAACATCGTAAGATGTCCTTAAGAACGACCAGATGCATGTCTGTGACGTAATTATTATACGGGGCGTCATCGCCCAGAGAGTCGCAACTGCGGGAAATTCCCGCGGATTCTTCAAGAGGTGTGCTGTGGCGACGGTCGTTGTTGCGAGCTACCGATTCTTTCCGCGATTTCTGGATGGTTGCTGTATCCAGGGTTAAACTTCGAGGAATCGGCGTCGGTTTGTCATTTGACTAAAATTATAAATAATGAAAGCGCGTAAGTATAATTCATAAACACCAATTCCTGGGTAAAAAAGCTATACAAACTTGTTGCGATCTTCGAAACAAAGCCATATAGTGGTTTGGAGCGAAAATTGTGTAAATATTACACTGCGCATCCCCGATTACAATACAACATAGCTATTAATATTAATTATAGTTATCATTATATTATTATTAATAATTATTCAATTATTACGAGGCGATTTTTTTGTATGTTACGTAACACGCACTCAAAAGGAATGACTATATTCAAAATTTTTATTATTCGATACGTTTCTCAATCGGCAAACAAACTTAGAAATAATGTTAAGTGCTTTATCTGTAAAATAATGCTAAAATGAAGAGATTGTAGATGGTATGCCAAAGTGAAAATGATGTCTGAAGTTCAGTAAGTTTTGCTTATATTGCTCAATACATATACTATATAGCCTAATGCTAAATTTTTTTTTGTATGTTACGTAACACGCACTCAAAAGGAATGACTATATTCAAAATTCTTATTATTCGATACGTTTCTCAATCGGCAAACAAACTTAGAAATAATGTTAAGTGCTTTATCTGTAAAATAATGCTAAAATGAAGAGATTGTAGATGGTATGCCAAAGTGAAAATGATATCTGAAGTTCTGTAAGTTTTGCTTATATTGTTCAATACATACATACTATATGGCGTCACTTTTAAAGCATCATTGATGATTGCATTTTAATTGATACTTTTTCAATATTATTTTATGTTTCTCAACCGGCAAATGCATTTAGCTAACTGTATAAACTAGAGAATAAAGCTAAAACAAAGTAATTTTGAGAGGTACGCCAAAAACATTTTCGGTTTTCGGGGCTCCACTGTAGTTATTAATTTGATTTCCGATCGTATCATAGGATACAATGTAAATGCAATAAACATTATTTTAAGCAAACGTCATCAAATTCGTTCATTCGCTGATCTTTTCTTTTGCCTTTTGCGCGTTTTACATTTAACAAGTGGAAAACATTTTCCGTGTTTCTATGCAGACATAGAAACTGGGTGGGGTTTGGGACAACTCGAAATAATCAGTGAGGAAACGAGCCCGCGATCGACGAGTTTTCGCACGTTATCCCCTACTACACGGGAACACGGTGAAATCTCTTTTGGGACAAAAAAAAACAAAGGAAAACTTTTGAAGAGAATATGGGAACACAGACTCCCCCCTGGAAGACCTTCTCTGGCTTGAGAACCAATGTCCGCCATTGACTAAAAAATAAAACATATTCTGATCATTGTTGCTGTATTTTGTGTGCAATCAAATGTGCTTGAAGATACTACTCAATTTTACCAGCACTTTATTAGATGTTTATATTACGTAGCATTAAAAGAACGATTGGATCCATTATATTTTCTATGGAAGTTCGTGCATGCGTGTCCTTTATTGAGTTGTTGAATTGGATAATTAAGTCAATCTCTTTGTAAACCGCTCAATTCTACTCCACGTGTTGTCCAGCCAGAATATTTCTTCACGGACTTGGTCAATCTAAGTCACTTGTCTTGACTAAGCCTGTAATGCTCTCACTAAGTACGTAATCGTCAGTCCCTCGAATGCCGCAGATTCAATGCAGCCGAATACGGTAAGGTAACGTTTGAAATCCCAGTTGCGTTCACCCACTGCACACTCTTCGCCATCACCCAAACGAAAAAGCTTTGTGAAGAAGCATATAAACAGTTTCAAGTGAGCTAAAAGTTTGCAAATTACAAATAAAGTTGTATTCCAGCTTAATTGTTGTGTTAAAATATAAGTGGTAGAAACCCAAAATAATAATCCGGATTGGATATTGTCCTTGAAAGTCATCTCTGCCACCGAAACAATCAGCTCTACAGGGGGACAGTTGGGATTGACCACGTTTCGTTGACGTTCAATGCATAGCGAAACATCTTCTCGAAGTTCGTGTTCAGAAATCTGTATACTTGCGCTTTCTTCAACCGGGTCTAGACGCCCGTATTCCTCGATGTAAATGCAGCGACAGTGAAAGTTCATGTAATGGGCATAAATTTTCCAAAACGCTGGCGTAAATATTGTGCAACAAACGCAACTGAATGCAAATAAAAAGTTGACGGTCATGTTGTCGATACGAACTCCAGAAATTGTCCCGTCCGTTAGTAAAACATGGAAATTATACCAAACGACAAGAAGGTCCAAGCCATGATAAATGACCATTACTATATAATAAAGAATCTTCAAAGCAGCACGTAATTCACGTAACACACTACGATTCATAACAACTCTATTTACGCTCGAGAATAGCTTTCAACTGCAGGAAAATCAGGCCCTTTATAAGTGCAATTGAAATTTACCAATATAGTCTTCTTCACGCTCAGTAATTGATGCCATTTTTGGGGTATTGACACTTCCAAGTACTTGCAAGCGAAATACGACGTTTTATTCCCTGTAGTTGCGTGTATAATTGTAAATTTACAGTTACAACTTTGAACAGGCACTTTTCACATTGTTTTAATTGTCTAGCTTTTTTGACGGGGGAAGACAGCACCCCAAAAATGGCGGATATAGGTCCGCATGAAAATTTTTTTTTTCTCTAGGCTGACAAGTCAAGCATGGCGTAATAATTACCGGAAGTGGGGCGCGCTACCTATGTTGTACGATGCTTTGAAAAAAGGTCAAAAACGAAAAATAAACAAGGTATAAAATGTTAATCCACTGCCATTGTTTCTAAAGTTTTTTTGCCTAAAGTAGTTTGACACAAAATGTCTTCAACATTAATAATCTGTCAAGGAAGTACTAATACAATCTGACAATGTGAATATATGCATGAGAAATGTTCT